AAAAAAAAAAAAAAAGGAGCCCAGCCGATGGCATGGAGGTCAAAGCCTCTGGATTCCACATGGTCGACGGTACTGTTCAAGTCCCAGACGCAAAGGCCTGAAAGACACATGGGATATGTGTGCACATATGCCCAAATTCCCAAGAAGAAAATGGAAAAGAAGAAATTGTGGAATTGCCATCCCCCCTCGGGGGTGGTGCTTTCTCACTTTCCTTCTCAGTCTGTCTGTCTCCAGGGAGTGCACGTGCCCCATACCAAAAAAATAAATAAAACAGAGACCTGGTAAAAAGTGATGAGATTGTGGTAGCCATATAAATACAAAGAAACTGTCACCAAGAAACAGCAGAGAAGCAGGCGGTGGAGTAGGATCGTGAGTTCTTATGGCACTTTATATCCCTCTGCCACTTTTCAATTTTGCTGCTTACAAAAGTACATTTCTGTACATGTCTTCTTGGTTACATTATTCATTTCTCTGGGGTACAGCATACATCATAAGGTATGCATTTGCTAATACGTATGTTAAAATAGGAATACGTTATAGACCATCTCATTCCATAATTGCTCAGAATGTTTTTGTCAAAGAAATAGACATAGTGGAAGAAAGAAAGGTCCAGGATGAAGCCTGAATGCGAATATTAGAAGGAGAAGCTGATTGCAGCGTCAGTAGTTCAGAGAGCTGCTGGCATCTGAGCCGTAGCTGGTATCCTACATCCAAAGGTAGCCTTAGATTAATAAAGCTGAAGAAATGAGTAGCATCCCCATATAGTCAGCACATTCTCTTTTCTCAGCCTACCGCACGCTCTGTGAAGGTAATAATGTGTCCCAGCAAAAACAAATGCTCAGCTAGTATAGTGAAGTATGAGGACAGTTCTGCAGTTACAGCTCAAAGAAGGAAAGAACTGAAAACCTGTCAGGGGTGGAAAATGCAACCCATTGTGTGTTTTCTAATCATTCTTTTAACTTCTGTTAAAATTAATGATAAGGAATTGACCTAAATTCTACCCCTACAATCTCATTTCAAGAAAAAGAACACATTACATTGAATGGCTCTGTTTTTACGCAAATTTTTATAACCAATGTGGTTTAAGTTTTGTAATCAGGTGGAATTTTCTTCCTGCAAGCTTAGATCTTGCAAGCTTGTGATAGAACCTCAGTTTTCCTGGCTACATGGATGTCGGTCCATAGTATATGTATGTTCTGAATTGTAGGATGTGGCCCTGATGTGGAGCTGGAAGAGTCCAGAGGGTTTTTGTTTGTTTGTTTGTTTTCACCTGCATGGTAAACCACTAGATTCTAGAGGAAAACTAGAATGTTCCTGGACACTCAAGAGTTTCACCGAGCAGTATGGTAAAATGTACCACCAAGTATGTGTCACTCCCTGGGTCTCGTGTATGTTGACATCAGTTCTGAGAGAACTGAGCAAGAGCAGAGTGTCAGGTACTCCTTCCGGGCATTTAGATTTTGTGCTAGGAGCCTTTTCTGGGTAGGTAGCTTATGATCAAGAGTGAGTATTGACATAGCTATTAAACCACAAAAATGTTGAGTCATGGAACAGACATGCCTTTTTCCCCCTAAGAACCCTTAATATTTTAAAAATTTGAATTTACAAAGCAGATACACTAAAGGCTGAGAAACAGAGATAGTTGAAAGAAGGAAAAAGGAAGAGGGTCCAACTTCTTTAGACACACCAGAACCATGCCAAAAGGCTGGAAGAATATACGAGGGGACTTCAGAAAGTTTATAGAAAAGTGGAATTAAACTACAAATTTATTTTAGTACAAAAAAAAATTTTAATCCATGGGTAGTTTTTTTCATAATATGCATTTTCTGTGAACTCTGTGAAGACCCCACTGTATACGATAGAAGGTGGTTGCAAACAGAGCAGGGGTTCCAGACAGGGGCACAGCAATAATGCAATGCTCTGCAAGGCTGACCCACCTGGAAAGTCACTGGGTTCGTCTCCAGAGACCTCCCTGAACACACATCAGGGGCATGTGTGCCCATGACCTAGGGCTGGCTGAAGGTGGCATGAGATCACATGGAAAGAACCTTTGGTTGGTGCAGTCCCTCTCCCGCTCTCCCTCTTTTCTTTGCTTCCTTTGTCTCCCTTTCCCCCCAACTCACCTCCTCGTTTTCTCTGTTTCTTTTGCTCACGGAAGAAAGAAGCTTACAAAATAGAGCAGAATTGAAGTGGGTAGGAGAGGAATGAAAAACTAAAGCAAAATCTATTAAAGGCTTTTTAAGTAGTAGATGAAAAAGATTTACTAGTAACATGCCAGCTCTCATTTTTACTTTCATGTAGAGGCAAACATGCTTTTGTTCAACAAAACAAACTTGCCACCTCCTGTTTGCTTAGGCATAATGACAGCTTTTTGGCTCTTGTAAGAAGGGAGGAGGGAAGGTGACAGAAATTATTTGGTTAATGGGAAACCTGGAGAGAAGACGAGTCTGCATATGCCGTTGCATGCTCATGCTTGACTCAGAAGTGTAGAGAGCCCAGGAAAATTGCTGTGACGGAGCGATTATTTTCTAGGATAAACTCAGAATGATCATTCATTAGCTTAGAAGGCACAAATGTTTAAGAACCATTTTTTTACTAATGCAATCTTATTTAGATTATAAAAAACACTATTAATTAGCCTGTCCACTGGGCCATATCCCCCTACCAAGAGATCACCTCCCCATTTTCTATGATTAAAATTGCTCGAACACTTCTCCTTGCAGCTGGACTGAAACCTAAACTCTGTAGGACAGCAGTCCCCAACCTTTTCAGCACCAGGGACTGGCCTCACCCTCTCCCCTGGCTCACCAGGTCTGGGTACTTTCATTTTCACCTCAAGACCATTGTACATCTACTCCACACTTGAGATAGTTCCTCTTATCCTTGTCCCTCACTTCCCTTAATGCTTACCTAGAATGTCACATTTACTTCGTGTTCTCTCTCTCTCTCTCTTTCCCCCATAAGGGTGCCTGGGCTCATCAGAAAAAGACGGAGACAAGGAGGTAGGAAGAAAGCATCCCCTCCCACTCCTTCAGTGAGGCGTGGTCAGGCTGCAGAATCCCTTCTCCTGCATTTCTCCATCCTGTCAGGATTTTGGGCACACATGCACAGGCACATGGAAGGTTTTTTATGACACCAGCGCCTGGAATTCAAACTGTGCAGTGGACTGGGTGGGCTCTGACTGCCTTATCATTCATTAGCTTAGAAGGCACAAATATTTGTTTAAGAATCATTTTTTTACTAATGCAATCTTATTTAGACTATAGAAAACACTATTAATTAGCCTGTCTGCTGTCCACCAGGTCGTTGGCCCAGCGCAGATATAACCTTCTTAATGAGACTCTACTTGACTGGTGCAAATCAAATCATCCCCTGCTTCCCTGCTTCTCTGTCCCTCTTTGCTAGCATTTATTGTCTTCCAGCATGTTGTGATTTTTTTTTTCCTGATATACTTGTCTATGTCTTCTATATCAAAAATGAGCCTTATGGGAACCAGCAGTTAGCATAATGGCTATGTCGCTGGACTCCCACGTAGTCGACCGCGGTTCGTGTCCCGGACCTGGTGGCTTAAAACTCACGCCGGGCGCGTGTGCGTGCGTGCCCAAGATCCCGAGAGGAGAATGGAGGAGAAGGGATTGAGGCGTGGCCATCCCCCCGGGGGGTTGATTTCTCGCTTTCTTTCTCTATGTCTCTCTCTGTCTGTCTGGCAAGCGCATGCGCCCTACAGTGAAAATCTCTCCAAAAAAAAAAAAATGAGCCTTATGAGGGCTGGAATTTTGTACTTACTTTCTTATTTAATTGCTAGAGGATACGTACACTCATGAGAGACATGGGGGGTATAGGGTTAGTTTCCAATGCCCCCAATGGGATGTGGTCATCCCACAATCCTTTTTCCTCCATTTCTCTGCCCCATCAAGATTTGGGGCATGCATGTGCACATGCCTGGCGTATTTTTCAAGTTTCTGAGTTGGGATTCTAACCACAGTTGGCCATGTGGGATCTGGTTTCCATTGCACTGTGCTTAACTACTGTGCTACCAAGCCCCCTGAGAGGTTGAGCTTTTGTCTCTTCACCTTAAGATGTCCCAGTGCCTAGAACAGTGTTAACACAGAGAAGGCATTTAATAAGTGACTGAATGGTCACCTCCTTCATGGCACCTCACTCTAAAGCAGTGTCATCCATGCCCTCCTGCCATAGCTGTCTGCTACACTGATTATTTCATCTGTAGCCCTTAGCCACCATCAGAAATCACCTTCATGGGACCAGCGGATAGTATAATGGTTACATCACTGGATTCTCACACAGTCAACCACAGTTCAAGTCCCAGACCCAGCAGCTTAATACTCACACTGGTGCATATGCACACATGCCCAAAATTCAGAGAGGAGAGTGGAGAAGAGGAGATAGCAGCCTAGCCATCCCACTGAGGGGTGATTTCTCACTTCCTGTCTCTCTGTGTCTCTCTAGCAAGCACATGCATGCTATAACAAAAATCTCTCTCAAATTTTGTTGTTGTTGTCGGGAACCAGCAGTTAGCGTAATGGCTATGTTGCTGGACTCCCACGTAGTCGACCGCAGTTTGCATCCTAGACCCGGTGGCTTAAAACTCACGCCGGGCGCGTGTGTGTGCGTGCCCAAGATCCTGAGAGAAGAATGGAGGAGAAGGGATTGCGGCGTGGCCATCCCCCCTGGGGGGTGATTTCTCGCTTTCTGTCTCTCTGTCTCTCTGGCAAGTGCACGCGCCTTATAGCGAAAACCTCTCAAAAAAAAATAATTTTTTTGTTGTTGTTAAATCATCTTCATGTACCTGATTAAAGCGAAAGCTTTGTAAGGGCTGAGACTTTACTATTTCTTTCTTTCTGTATTCCTCCAAATTAGGGTTGTGCCTTCGTACTTAAAACCTTTTTCTTTGTCTTAATTTGTGCTAAGTTTATTATTTTGCATGAAGTTTGCTTTTTACTTTTTAGAAAGTTTAACTCAGTTTTTACTTTTATAAGTAGTACATGGGGTCACTTTTCACCATGTCTATAACCTAATATGTCAATTTGAAAGGTATTATTTTTATTGCTTTCTTTTTTATGATTTATGTAATGACTAGTTTTATACTTTGGTAAGCTATATATATATAATATATATATATACACGCACACACACACACATACACACACACACATACATACACACACACACACATATACATACATATATTTAAAGAATTATTTATTTAATTTTATTTATTCATTCACTTATTTTAACTTGACCAGAGGCAGGGCGAGAGAGAGGGAAAGTGAGGAAGCAAGTCACCTGGTCCAGGACTCAAACCATGGTCGGCCATGTTGGAGTGTCCAGCACCTTAACCACCATGCCACTTGCTGGTCCCGCTATTTATATTTTTAACTGATTGCCATTATCTTTTGTCTATTTTTAAAATGTGAGTGTTCATTTTATTGACTTTTAGAGCTTTATATGAGAAGTCTTCAAAAACTTCCTAGACAATGCATATTGTGAAAAAATTATGTGTGAATTTGAGATCTTTTTGCAATAAAATAAACCCTCACTTTTTTTTTTTTAATTGTCAGAGGGTGCATGTGATAGCCAGAGAGAGAGGAAAAACCACTCCATCAGAATTTGGGCTATGCAAGCACACAGGCCCAGTGTCCACATTTTTTCAAGCTGCCTGGGGCTAAGATTCAGATTGCAGTGGGCCACGTAGGATTTGGATCCCAGCACACATCTGTTAACCTCTGCACTGTGCGGCCAGCTCATAAACTCTTTAATTTTGTCATAAACATTTTAAAATCCCTTCATGTAAGGTACCTTTCCATTGTCATAAGTCATAAGTCGTTATTCTTAATGTTGTCATTTGACTTTACATTTTATATGTTGATGTAAAAATTTAAAAGTTTATTTAAATATGTCCTCGTGTGTCATTGATCTTTGATATGGCTCATTGTGTCTGTGCTTAAAAATTAATTCGAGATGGGACCAGCAGTTAGCGTAATGGCTATGTCGCTGAACTCCCATGTTGTCAACCACAGTTCGAGTCCCCAACCTGATGGCTTAAACTCACGCCAGGCACGTGTGTGTGTGTGTGTGTGTGTGTGTGTGTGTGT